AGAAATTCAGTGCTTATCAGTGAGTTCAAATGAAATTTCGATTGGTACAACTTGCTGTTTATTTGTTTGAGCGAAATTATGTTTTCGGAATGAAAGATACTCAATAGAGCATTTAAAAATATGCAAAACAAAACTAGGGTCGCATCATTACGTACGCTCCGGTCGAATCCTAAGGATCACCAAAAGGAGGTTGACAGCATAGCTAATTCATTAGATTCTGTTTATTTGTTCTATTCATGAACGAGTAATAATAAACAATAAACAAATAATAAACAAAGGGATCAATTCCATTTAATATAACCCGATTTTATAGAATCGGCGCACATAAACAGCATTAGCTTTTCGCGTCAGTAGTCCTGATGTCAATGCTTTGAATAAGTCTAATAACAGTCAAATTATTAAAAGCGAAATTACTCTTACGACTAATACTGTTGAGAAAAATTACCGAATAAAATTTTAAATTGCTCGGATCAAAAAATTAAAATAGAAGAAAAAGGTGTGACATTTGGACGCAAGAATTTGTTTTAAAAAAATCGTTAACTCAGACATTTGCAAAACTAAAAGAAGATGGAAAAACAGGATTTCCAATAACTGTGAGATACTTATTTTCGAGTTGTAACGTATCGCTGTTAACCAAATAGTTCATGCCATCGGATAACAAAGAGAGTAAAGATAAAACAGATCAGAAATTTCAATATTAAAATGAGATCATAAATTTGTTCTACACTTTGATAATGACATCGAATACACTGCGTAACTTCTGATTCTTCTTATTCTCAGCTTTTGATTCTCTAGCTTCCGTCCCATTTCTCATGTTTGCCGAGGAATTTCTGAATTGGAATTCTCCCTTCGTTAGATCTAGAATAGAACTTTTTCTGAATGTTGTCTGATAGCACCAGAAAAACAAATGGTTTTTTATAGTTTGGTCGCATGGGACAGATGATATGCATTCTTGTATCGGAATATCTATCGAATATTGCTTTCCTGATCCACGGTTGTAAATGTTTCTCACCACACCTTCATGTATGTTCTGCTATTCCAGATGGAAAAACGCACTTGAAATTTTGCTAAATTTGCAAAACTAACGTGAATTTCCTAAACATCTCTTTTGATGTTCTTTCAAATGGTCCTTGCGACTGAAGGATTTGTTACAGCATTCGCATTGAGGTTTGAGTTGATGTGGTTGATGATTTCTCTTCTTGTGAGAGTGAAATGATCCGCTATGATTGTACTTTTTCCCACAATTGGGTTCTTTACATTCGTAAATAAATGGTTTGCCGTGCGTTTTCTTGTGTTCTATAAATTCCATGTGACTGTTTGTGTGAAAAGCACATCTGACATAA